GGTTCTTTCAACACTGTTCTACGAACTTTTGGTCAACCCTAAGTAATTCTTCGTTACTACTGCTATCATCCGAATATGTATCATTTGGACGGTCTTTATCTATGAAATAAATAAAATTTTTTAAAGATAAAAATAATGTTTCTATCAGCTTTTTCGTAATAATCATTAACCCATGGTACTGAAACATTTGTTGAAAAAAATACGCTCAAATGATTGATTTTTACATTGTTCTTTTGCAAATCACATAATCGATATAATTTTCCGGGACCAACTTTCCAATATTGCCAAACACGAACTTCAGTTGATGTTTTTGTAGACGATGTTGTTTGACGTTGTATGTATTCAATGTTATTGATTTGTTTCACGCCTTTCCATTCGATTTTTTCGTTATGTGTATTTTGAACTTCACTTGCATAGAATTCTACTCCTTTCGTTCTTTCTAAAAAATAAGCAATGTAAAGTAAGTTGCTAAATCGAAGAGAACTAGTAAAAAATTTACCCGAAGCTTTCAGAAATTCAGTTGCGTTTGTACAGTTGTGTTTTTCATCGATAAAGCGACGAATTGAACATTTAATCACAGCTGCTATCCTGTCGCATGGCCCCTTTCCACTATGTGGATCTGAAAAATCAATGGATTTTATCCATATTCCTGTATCTTTGAATAATTGCTCAACGCTCAATAACGCCTCAGAGCTATGGTAACATCCGGCGGTATCGGACCTTAGATGTGCATATTTGATATTGGGTGCTGTTTGTCGAAGACATAGAAATATATGTTGGATAATCGACATAACTGTTTTAGCATTTTGTACGCATTGATCAAATACATGGCAAAATATTTTATGCTGAAATATATCATCATTTGAACTATGTTGGTTGGCAACTTCTGTCGAATCGAATGATGTATTAGGTGAATTTGATGATGTTGAAGATGTTTTGCGAATTACATAAGCAATGTGCCATGATAAACCTCTTTTGGCGAAGTGATCCTTCTAAAATATATTAGCACTGTATTGGATATCGCACATATATATGGGTAGAGATGTATCGAGATCAAGCTGAGACTGATGGTCTCGGTCTTGATAAGTCTCGGACTCGGGCAATCTCCGGTGGATGAGTGAATATGATGTCGGTGAGAGTGCGAGGCATGGGAAAGCACAAACACCCAGCATCTAGTCAACATCTTAGCGCCCAGCCAGCACCTTGGCACCTGGCCAACATCCAGCCAACACTCGGTCACTTGACCAACATCTGGCTAGCATCTAGTCAACACCTCGACACTTGACCAGTAACTAGTCAGCACTTTTCCCATTGACCAGCGCCCAGCCGCCTATACTCATTCTCTCAAGATAGCCATTCACCCATATAAACACTCGCGCTGACTGATCCAAATATCCATAGTCAACCAACGGCACATAACCAGTCATCCACCCGAGACTAACCGGGACCATGCAAACGAACGCCGAGAGGTTCGATCTCGGTACATCGCTATATATGGAAACTTACTGTTGATTCTCTATACTTAACTGGAAGCCATTTCATGGCCCAATCAACGTGAATCATGATTGTTTCATCGTCGAGATTGTTTAAAATGGCTATACGAGATTGATATTGATGAATTGTTCGTAATAGATGGGCTTTCCAGTCTTCAATACATCGAATTTGTTGTTGTACACGATAAAGTAAACGATCACGTATTGCGACGTCCGATTGATATTCTTCAATATATTTTCGAATTTTAGCCAGAGTAATTTTGAGCAATTCACATCGATCACATTGTTGATCATGATTATGATCACAAGCTTGATACCAGCATTTATCAGCAGCATCGCTTAGAGCATAGATGGAGCAATGATCTGGAACTGGACTGCTGCGTGAAATATGAACCTTGTAATCGGCCTTCAAATAATTTCGACTGTCTTGAAGATCTCGTTTTAGTTCAGCTGCATTGTTTGCTGTCAAGCCTAAAAGAAAGGAAAAAAGTACAAAAATAATTAGAACAAATAGTTTGCGCTTCAAACTCAGTTAACGATCAATCGTATCGTTTTATCTCCCTTATTGGTCTTGAAATCTACAACAGACACAGCATAACGATTTTGACAAGTCATTAAAGAACCAATAAGCAATTCTAGCTGCATGTAGAATATTTGATGTATTTCAGAATTATGAGAAAAATAAGAAATAGAACAAGAAGTAATCTGAAACTGTTGAAAAATCTAAAACGCGTTTAATACTATACCTGATGTTGATAATCCGTCGACAATTGACATTAAAAAATCGAATGCTGTTGATCCTTCGGCCGAAAAACTATCTAATCCTTGTAAGGAACGACGAGTTGATGCCGTACATTCATTTAATATTGAAAAAAGTGAACTTTGACCTAATGGACGAAATGTATTACCATAATATTCTTTGCAATAATTATAATATTGAATAATGATACGTTGTGGTGCTAGATTTCGGATTGTCAGTGGAATAAGAAGAGTTTCACCGGTTGAAAGATGAAGTTCCTTCTGTCCAAAAGGTAAATCAGTACAAATATGTGGAGAAACAATGAATTCAATAAAATGTTCTAATTGATAATCTTCATATCGAATCGTTGGAGTTCTGGTATCGTCGACAACAACACCTTTTCCTATAGATTTGGCATATTGACGAGCTCTATAGTAACGATATTCTGTTAAATTTGGAATAAACATAAGAATTGTTGAAAAGGTAACATCATTTGCCATGATCGAAAGAATTTGTTGACGAACCGCCCAATGAGATGCAGCATTGTAGGCTTCGGCAAGACTAGTCAATATTAAACGTAAATTCTTGTCTAGGTTTCCATTAGTTAAAGAGATTTGTGTTGAATTTTCTATATTCGTTTGCCATATAACATTAGTATCATCTTTAGGTGACATTATACCAAGAATGTGTTTTAAAATATTGGTAGACTGTCGACAAAAACGTTTCTTGCTTGACGGTTGAAGTTTTACAAATGATTTTGTTGTAGGTACTGGACCATCATAGTTGACTTCTGCAAATGAGGAGAAACAAATTATTTTGATGCACATAATTCGTACCGTTTTCAAGTTACCTTGAAGAAATTGTTTCAAACAGTCTTGTTTTTCATCAACGACTAGCTTATTGAAAGATTGAGACAAAACATTGTGAGAATCAGAACTAGATATAGATGGTGTGTGTGTGAAATTTACATCATACAACCATTGAAAAAGTTCATTACATTCTTCACTAATTTCTTTTGTAATATACTTTTCAAGATCATTGCGGCACTGTGTGCACATTTTTCGACCAAACGAAAGACGAATTGCATTTTTCTTCCAAGCTGCAAAAGAATATAATTTTGATATGGTTCGAAGGCCACTATTGCTGGAATTTGAACGACCAAATTTTTTGCATAAGCAGCAATTCTTGAAAAATGAAGATTGTATCAGATTATCATGGTTATCACACACATGGAATTCTTCCACATTACATGGAAGCATGTCGAATTTGCCGTATTGCAATAAAAGACTTTCGATTTTAGACTTACAACCGAGTAAAGTTGAATTGTTGTCGGTGCTAATAGTTGATTTACATAAATAATAACAAGGTGTGGCTGTGCCACAACAACCACCGATATTATTAAAAAGACAAGACGAATCCATTTCCATAATTAGAAATCTGAAAATTTATATAAAAGAAATAAAATGAAGATCTGCCGAGAAAGGTTAGTTTGTATAAGCCGTGTGGTTTCATTCAATACAAGAACAGACTCGATTAACCTTTGACAAAAGTAAGAGATAGAGTTGATTTTAAAATTTCGTTAAATTGGAAGAAGAACAGGGTATTCAACAAATTCTGGTCATAACAAATCATGCAATAAACTATTGAAAGTTCAACAATCTTTCTAAATAGCATACAGATTATATATACAAACTCAAAACACATATAATAATCACAAATCAACGACTTCGAAGATTTCTTTATATATACTGATAACCTACAAAATAATACAACTTAGGTCGTTGTCTTATAACGCCAGTCAAACAATCTATATCAAAATGCAACCTAAATACTCAACCACAAATAATGTCATTCATCTTATTTTAACCATTTACTTTGTACAAATTCTTGTCAGAAAACTATTCAATTGCC